CCAATTCCCTTCTGTCTTGTTTCATATAGTCCTATAATATGTATTTTATTCCTACACATTTCATTCTTGGCTTCTTTTAATTTTCTTTATTGTACTGGGATTTTGTTGGTTAATGACATGAGAGGCGTAGATCTTTTTTTCCTTCCCAGCTAGATCTTGGGGTCTGAGGTCCATGATCAGTAATGTTGAGACCCATGTTTAAGTTTTGTTTACTTTATGGCTACTTTTTACAATTTTTAAATTTTACAATAATTGGAATAAATAATAATATATGACCAAAGCAATATAATGAAAACATCATGTTTAGTTTCCTGAAATTTAATTTATTACATTTCTTGATTTAATAGATACACTGTATGGCAAAATATTTGAAACTATCAATGACTATTTATTATACATTTTAAAAAGTCATAAATAATTGAATAAAATCTGAATCAAAAGAAATGTGTGTGAAAATGAAAAGTATGTCAAATGAAAACTATATGGACAATTTAAATATCTTTTGGTGGTAAAAAAAATTTTGAACTAAAAAGTAAATTGTTAAATAAGAAGCCATTTCATTATCAGTTCTTACCTTCTCTGTAATTCTTTAATACGAACCATCATATTCAAGTGACCTTGAGAATATTGTTCTATCACATCTCTAACATCATATGGCTTTCTTGCTTGCTAAAATATAATAATTTTTCATTATATTTTTTGTAATTATTTGTAACATTATGCTAATTAAAATTATTTTTCTTCTTATTTTATAATTAAAATAGTTTCATCATTATACAGTAATTTCCCAGTTTACATGAATTCACTTTAATGTAATAATAAATGTTACAGAAATAAGAGTGTCAATCAAAAAGTGTGGTTTTTGTTAAACCTCTTATATAGATGTACATTTTAAAAATTTTAGTTAAAATTTTTCTGCCTCACTAAGAGTAAAATACTATATATGAGATTATGGAACAGGCTCATTTACATGGTTATCATGGAATCAATTACTTGCATAAATGGAGGGATAACTGTATTTGAATTTAAATATTAAAGTAGTATTNATATTAAAAAAACTGTTCTTAAATTAATATTTAAGAAAATAAATTGAAAAATTGGAACTAAGATTAATTTAAGAACAAAGTTTTTCAATTTATTTTCTTAGAATATCTGTGAAAATTTAATTAAATTTTCACAGATATTTCAGTAAATCTGTATACAGTAAACCCTTGATTTAATGGACACTTCAGCCACCGTACCACATGCATTTCTTATCAAATTTATTTCAATCAATGGATAAGAAATAGAGGGGAGTAGGTGGCATGTTGTGAGAAATTGGTTTGATTCATCATCTGCTCAAGGCAAGAGTTGAGTTTACCCCGTGTTGGCACAGAGTATCACTGGGATCAAGAGGTATGTATTCTACAATTCTGTATTCACTTTGTTGTCTTATTCTGCCTCAAATTATGAGTTTATGAGTTAATTGCACACAGACTGTTTTTGTGATTTCTAAATTTTTCTTTCTTTATTAAATCATTTCATAATCCTTATGATTTAAAGGGGCATCAACTGATACAGAAGTAAAAAGAAAGTGTGTAAACTTATAAGTGACATGAAAATTAGAGCTAATTGAAAATTTAGAACAAGACAGCTTAGTAGCACAAGTTTGTGAAATTTACAGCAAAAAAAAAAAAAACAAGCTATTTTTGATATCTATAAATAAAGAGTCAAATTTGCTAAAGTTTTCTTTAAAATATATTATTGATAACTCTGAATATGGTTTTACAGATGCTTTATTTTTAAAACTTCACCAATTTGTTCTTTATTACAATTCAATAAATTTAGGTTTTATATTATATCAAAGCTATTTTTGCATTATAGTGTTTTGTATTTGAATTTGAAGAGTAAAAAATTAACCTTCCTTTATAACATTTGATTTTATGGATTGTTGACATTAACAGACACCCATTTAACCTTATTAGTCCATTAAATCATGGGTTTACTGTAATTTAAAGATGTATAAATTATTATTAAACAGATAGAATATTAGATAAAATATTTCATGGACAAAAAGGCTAATATACAACTTAATAAAACAACAAAAAATTGTAATTCACAATATATTAACTAAAAATAATTTATTTATAAAATTAAGTAACGTAAAAATTTTTTAATGAAAAAGTTTGTTCTCTCCATTTTTTAAATTTTCTTGATTTTTGGAAGATAAGTTTTCAGTTAATGTAGCATGCAATGAAGTTCATAAAGAATAAATTATTTTAAAGTTCTGCTGAAATTAATATACTATGAATTTATTTTAATCAGTAAGATAACAGGATTTATTTTTATACGAATATTTTATAAATTTAACAGTTTACTATATTTTTCTTATTTTAAAATTAAATAATAACTATACAGCAAAATACAGGTAAAGCTAAATATTAACTAGACTTTAGAAACACAATAATGAATCAGTGCCAAATAAGAATTTTAGATGTTATATATCTCTTTTGTTGAATTCTGCTTTACCATCAAAAGCAATTTTGGCACAAGTAAAGTATTAAAAAGAATTTGATCTAAATTTAACAGATATATTAGAAAAATGCTTGATATTATTGATTTAAGCTATTAATTAATATAAAAATGGGATTAATATAGAAACCAAGTTACTATTTCATAGCAATTGAAATAATAAAATTATTATTTCAATTTATTATTATTATATATTGTTATCCAAACAACATGAACTGTAATCAAAGCAAAATGTCGTTTGCATTAAAGTACATGACACAAACTGGATTAAAACACAATCAGTCAAAAAGGTTTTGAATATTAGTCATGAAAAATTGATCAGTCAAACAAATCAAAGTTTTGGCAAAAGTCGAGATATTTTCAACTTCAAATAAAAATTAAAATTCTACCGATTACTGTGGATATGCTTAGCTATCAGCTTTACTTGTTCATATATATATTTCTGTTATGCTATTTTTGTTAAGATCTTATATAATCTACATCAAAGTTATATTAATTAATATATAAAATTGTGTTATAATATATAGCATTGTCTCTAACCTTCTAAATGACAAAAACACAATTTTTGTCATTTAGAAGTTTAGAAACAATGTTACTATAATTTTAAAATGAATAAAAAATACAGAAAATACATGACTTTAAATCCTCTTTTTCATTAATAAAATATTTTAATACATTTTTGACTAAAAATGAATTTCATTCTATATCTGTATTTTTTTTAATAATGAAGTTTATTACTTTTGTTATGAAATATATGAAAATATTGGACTTTAAATATAGCATTGAAGTTTTACTTTGTATAGTTTAAATGCTACATCTTGTCTTTTATTTTATATTTTAAAAAATAAACAGTATTAATACTGTTAATAATTATTTTTAAAATATTATTTTACTTTATATAAAAAATTATTTAATACTGAATAAGAATCTTATTTTTCATTTTATTATTTGGCATAGAAATTTTGAATGAAAAATATTATGTACAAATTTTGTATTTAATGTTCTAATGTATTGAATAAAACAGATTAAACTTTATTAGGAAAACGGTTTACAAAAAAATGCAACATATATTTAATAATTTAGATGATGCAATAATGTTTTCTCATAAAATAATTAGTCTATAATGATTTTATCTATAAGATTAAAAATTTTTTTAGTTAATTAAATAAAATCACAATAACCATCATTTGAAATACTGTTTTGGTTACTACAGAACTTTCAATTGTAATTAATAGAATTTTAAAAAGTAATTTTATATTATCTAGCTACTCATTGGAATTTAATTTTATCAACAATGCTAAAAATTTTTAAATTTTAATTTTGATGAATTTTATTTTATAAATCCCATGTTTATGAAAATGTTTGATCTAATCATATATATATGTATATATAAACAATGTTTTTGTAATTTTATTATCAAAAGTTTTTATATACCAAATATGATTACTATTTTTGATATTGGTTTATATGTTTTAGTTAAGAAATTTGCTTTAAATATATAAAATTTAGGACGTTTTTCACAATTTAGCAATTGAAAGTTTTAACTTGTTCAGTAGATGTACTTTCAAAGGCACTAACCTCTTCATTGGTCCCAATCCTTAATTTCTAAGACTTACTTAATTTTTCCTACAGTAGAGCCTCGATTATCCAACTCAATTGGGAACTGGGGTTGGTCGGATAATTGAAAAATCGGATAACCGAAAAGTATGAAAAAAATCCATTATTAGTATAGTATATTATTATATCCTGTGTAATTAGTATATTAGTATATCACTATTAACCTACTTTGCGTTGAATTTTCTTCGGTGTTAAGCCTAACAAAAATTTTTTAAAATAATAATCGTCACTATTGTATCATTAAAAATTAGAAAATTAAGCCTCGTTTAAATACTGTCTCCCTTTCATGGTCGAATGAGTGTTGCCAGCTAAAACACATAAAAATAATATTAAAGTAGCCAAGACAGAGCCAAATATTGTAGCGCCACATCACTAGCGGACATTTGAAATTTGCCGACTAGGATGGTCGGTTAAACCTGTCCTAGTCGGCAAATTTGGGGTCGGATAATCGAGGCTCTACTGTATTTAAAATCTTATTGTACTTATAAACTTTGAAACAGAAAATTAAACTATAAATATTTTAAATACTGTATTTTAAAATTAAAATAACTGTCAAAGTTTAGAAAATAAACATAAGTTGTGTGTGTATAGGTGTATATATAACTTTTTTATCTATATTTACTTTCAATAAAACAAATTATAGTAAAGTGCATATTGTTCTAAGTTGATATACTTTCTACTTATGATATGTATAATTTAGTCTCTACAAACTAGATCTAATATTATTACGTTTTTATAATTGAAAGAATAATTAACATTTACAATTTGTAAATCCATTGTACTATCTGTTTATATACATTATGTATATAGAAATATAATATAAGTGGAAACATTTGATGAATAATTATGAATTATGACAACATTCTAGAGCTATAAAAATTATGAAATACAAGCAATTACAAATGAAATTATTTAACGCTAAAATAATTGAACATGTATAAACAAATATAAAAATTGTGCATAGTTTTTAAATTATCATTTCTTCTCATTTGGAAATGTATAGATGAAGCGAGTGCTTGTAATGGAAAAGCAGAATGGTAGACAAAAATATAAACCTGAATTCCCAAATTAGTTTAAAATGCTGAGAATCTATTTTATGGCATTTCCTTAAGCATTGTAAGAAGGTGGTTGTTTCTGATTTTTCTCAATTATTCCAAGTGCTGATACAATTGTCTCCAATCTTTTCTCGATTCCTGACATCTTTGTTCAAATAAATAAAAGTTTTCTAATTACTTGTAAAAATTTATTAAAATAAAAATGAATACTAAATTATAATATCAATTAATCAATATATATTAAAATAAACTAAACAATTTTTAAAAAATTACTGAATACTTTCATATTTTATACCTGTTGTTCCATTCGATGCAATCTTGCTCCAATTGTCATAGGTTTCATTCCTCTTTCTGCTAAATATGAACCTGGTTTTCCAAGAGTATAATCTAATCTAGAAATTAAATTTATACTAAATACTAATAAATGAGAAATATATATTTATTAAATGAAAAAATACTAATTCCTTACATTTCAAGAACAATCAATAAAATAAAATTTATAATTTTTATTTCAATCAAAATGTATTATTGAAAAGGTAGATGCTACATTATGAAACCAACACAATAACCTGAAACATGTTAATCTCTTTTAAATATATTCAGTTAGAGTAAACATAAATTCATAATTCATGTATAACCATACTCATCATCAATTTTTTCTTCTCTGGGATGACAAAGACAATTGAGGCATTATGGCTACAAATGGCAAACTCAACATAGATTCGCTAGGTAAAAAACAAAAATCCAATCATCACAATGGGATAATATCATTGGTATGTTTTGTTTAGTTTGCTCTAGCTTAATATATTAATGTGACCAGAGGGTTGGTACCTCTTTAGTGCCTTGTCAACATAGAAACTGGCATTAGAAAACCAGTCATTTACCATTATTCATTCCAACAAACTCATCTGACCCTTTCTTGTATAAAATTGCTCCTCCTGTATTCTTACATGACAAGCTTTTACACACCATACAAACATGGAAGATTCTTTAAAGGAACTGAAACATTTAGAGGACATAGCTGTAAGGCATGAGTATAGAAAAAACTTGATTCATAGTTTGGCTTACACCTACTCCAATCAACACTCTCTACATACTGACCCCAACAACCAAGGAGGATTCAACAGCAGTCAAACACACATTCCTAATCTCAAGTGTGCTATGATGAAGTATGAATGTAATTTGCATACATTGTACAAGGAAATAGCTGATAATATAGTGCTAAGTTTCTACACAACAGAAAAGACAAGGCTGATGAATGTAGGGCTCTAGGGGTGTACAAGGTTCCAGTGAGAGACAACAGGTTCCAAAAGATCTGGTTACATTGGGTTGACTAAGCATTTCTTACGCAAAAGGTTACAAAAGCATCAATATGATATAATGAATAAAAAACACAGCATCACCTTGTCCTTTGAGAGTCTGGAGGTCAACTGCACAGAGACTGATATGCAAGCTGACCTCCAGAATGCCACATTAATCAAACAATCTTAGGAAACCAAACACATCAAGGCTCTAGAAGGTTTAAAAATCTACAAAGCTGACCCAATTGCATTAACTTTAAGAATGAAAATACATCTCATAAACTTGGCAATGTTTTTATGAAAAACCAGGCAATACTAACATAGAATTAGTTATTATTATTATTACTACATATAATTATTTCTTATATATGTATCTGTTTTAATTTTATACATCTTAAAAGGCAACTGAATGTTCATTTATTCAATTTTATATTTTATTCCAGTATTTAAAAAAAAAAATTTCAAAATTAGTTCCTTGCATTCCAATTTAGAATGCTGTTGACCTGAAGCAGATCTTGTGCAAGATTGAAAACGTTTGCCAAATTTACATTAAATTACTGGATTGTCAAGGTTTTGATTAGTTATCAGTCCAGTTATTGAGAAGTTAATTTTGTACAGTGCATGCTAAGCCAGCTAAAATATACAAAAAACTTGTACTAGCCTTAATGAGGGCTAGGGCTAAATACAACTTCCTGTTCGATTGTCAGAAGAACAATGTATTTCCTACATCAATGTACCAAATACATCTCCCTAAGGCTTGTGAATAACTCTTACCAAAATTACAAATATCATACTTGAGAAAGGCAGTTCAAACATCAAGAAAAGCTATATATTTCAAGCTCAGAAAATTGATAAGGATGAAATTGATAAACCTGTTGCAAAAAATATTTCAAGAAATTAAATTGGATATTCAAAATGCAAAAACCAAGTAAAGAAGCCTATTATGCTGTTAATTTGCTGGGATAACATTTCTCCTCTGGATTATCTCATATGCACCATTACGTATGATTCCATATAATCCTCTGTTTTACCAAGCCTCATCCAGAGTGTGTAATACTTAATACCAAGAGACTCATCATCAGAATGAAAGATACTAAAGAATATTACCAATGGAAAGCTGCCTTTAAAATCACCAATTACTATCATTGTCCTTTTCTGTTGTCAATTCTAGTAGTTCTTCAATGTCATCATACATTTTTTCTACTGATTCTTCCTCTGAGTTAGAAGTTGGAAAATATTCCTGAATTATCATCAAGTCTGTGTCGGTTTACTGCTAAATTTTATCATTTACATGGCATGTATTACATATGCTTTGTGCCCATTCCTTGCTAAGCATTATTGCAACTCCATTCCTTCCAGCATTCTCTCTTCCATTATGAATTATCCTAATGTCATCATTGTAAAAATCACCAATTCCCTTCTGTCTTGTTTCATATAGTCCTATAATATGTATTTTATTCCTACACATTTCATTCTTGGCTTCTTTTAATTTTCTTTATTGTACTGGGATTTTGTTGGTTAATGACATGAGAGGCGTAGATCTTTTTTTCCTTCCCAGCTAGATCTTGGGGTCTGAGGTCCATGATCAGTAATGTTGAGACCCATGTTTAAGTTTTGTTTACTTTATGGCTACTTTTTACAATTTTTAAATTTTACAATAATTGGAATAAATAATAATATATGACCAAAGCAATATAATGAAAACATCATGTTTAGTTTCCTGAAATTTAATTTATTACATTTCTTGATTTAATAGATACACTGTATGGCAAAATATTTGAAACTATCAATGACTATTTATTATACATTTTAAAAAGTCATAAATAATTGAATAAAATCTGAATCAAAAGAAATGTGTGTGAAAATGAAAAGTATGTCAAATGAAAACTATATGGACAATTTAAATATCTTTTGGTGGTAAAAAAAATTTTGAACTAAAAAGTAAATTGTTAAATAAGAAGCCATTTCATTATCAGTTCTTACCTTCTCTGTAATTCTTTAATACGAACCATCATATTCAAGTGACCTTGAGAATATTGTTCTATCACATCTCTAACATCATATGGCTTTCTTGCTTGCTAAAATATAATAATTTTTCATTATATTTTTTGTAATTATTTGTAACATTATGCTAATTAAAATTATTTTTCTTCTTATTTTATAATTAAAATAGTTTCATCATTATACAGTAATTTCCCAGTTTACATGAATTCACTTTAATGTAATAATAAATGTTACAGAAATAAGAGTGTCAATCAAAAAGTGTGGTTTTTGTTAAACCTCTTATATAGATGTACATTTTAAAAATTTTAGTTAAAATTTTTCTGCCTCACTAAGAGTAAAATACTATATATGAGATTATGGAACAGGCTCATTTACATGGTTATCATGGAATCAATTACTTGCATAAATGGAGGGATAACTGTATTTGAATTTAAATATTAAAGTAGTATTAGTTAATTTATAGATATATTAATATTTTAAAAATATCTGTTTTATATAACTAGAGATTATTAGACAAACATTTTTGGCTTGTTTCAAATATCAAAGTACAAATTGAAGAAAAAAAATATATAATTTAAAAATGGAACACTCTGATATGTTATAGAAATATTTCAAAATTATTATTATTTTTCAACTTTGTTTTTTATAGTAAAATTCAGCTCAATGAAACTATTCTGAACATTTATTTTGCACTGCTAATCCCATGTATATATATTTCTTCCATAAATAAATAAAGTAAAAATACTAGAAATTTGGATTCAAAGTAGAGCAAAAATTAATGAATAGATAATAATAATACAGGCAATTCAATAAGAAATGTATTAATGTATTACTATTTAAATATTAAATAATTAAAATAGTAATATTATAGAAAAAGACATCTTAACATGTTTTAGGTATTTTAACATTTCAAAATATTTTTATTTTCTAATAATGAATTTTATATATACAATATATAAATTATAAGTGTAAATCTGTATTTTTCAAATTCAATTCCATTGTTATCATTTATAAACATTTAAAAAAAGTTGTGCAACTTATTATTACTTCTGAGGTTGTAGATTTGCTGTTAATTATTAACATTTGATAATAGTAATAGTTGTAATATAATTATTTATAAATTAGAACTTCATTATCATTCAATATGCTAACAACTAATTAATTTAATTTTACTGACACTGATTATTCATTTAATAAAAATTCAATAACTAATATCTGTAAGTAATTATTTTTAAAATAGCCTGTATTTTCATTTATGAATTAATTAGCTATATTCATTTATTTCATACAGAATAAAATTTTTGTAATAACATTTGAAAATGATGCTGGAGTTTTAAGATATTATTTAAAAATATAAAATTTGATCCATCAAATCTTTCTTCTCTCCAATTTTGATATATTTAGGATGATATAGAAATTTAAGAATAGATCCAGGCAACATGAATTTTACAATATTCTTTTATAAGAGATTATATCTTATAAAACTGAATTGTGAATAAAGAAAGTGTAATAAAAACATAACTGTAATTCATATTTTCATAAAAATTTGAAATATGCAAAAAAATTTATAAATTACTGTAGTTTGAATAATGATTTAATTATGGTAATGATAAAGGTCTTAAAATAAATCTAAACCAAGGTATAAAGTCAGATTTACTACTATTACTCAAAATTTCATAACATGAATGGAAAATCAATACACAAACAGATCTTAATATTTTTTGTAACAATTTTTTGTAATATAAGGGAATCCATATGGGTTGGGCTAATTTGACAACTGTATCATAAGAAATATATAAATTGTATGATGTTCAAATTCTACTACAATAGAAAAGTAAGGCAGGATTTCATTGGAAGTTATGTCACATGACAAAAGTGAAAATTGCAATTACCATGGAGCAACACACTAAGTACAGTAAGACCCTGCTTAACGCTGATTCAATATAATGCGGCCTGCTTGAAGCCTAAAAATCACTCAAAATTTATGCTGAATTAAATTATCATGGAATTTCATTGATTCGTATATAATACGATTATTTGCGAACACAAACCAATCAGCAAAAGCTGGCAAAACAGTGTACTTTCTTTAAATCTATGTTGTTTGGTGCAATTTTGGAAAAAATATAACATCATGAATGCCATAGGAAATATTGACTTTGCTTGGCAAGAATTAACTGATAAATGCACGAACGAAGTGTGCAAGAAGTTATGGCTTAAGGTATCCAAGAATTCTCAACGAGAAGAGCCTATCTCTGTATCGTTAGCTTGACCAAACTCAACCTAATCGATATAGCAGGACTGGGAGATATATACAAGCAGGATATTGAGTAGTTACAGCAGGTTTCTGGTGAGAGCCTTACCAACGACAACCTTCAAGAACTGGCAGAACATGGAATTCATGTGGAACTGGAAAATAGAGATTTTGAAAACAAAGAACCCAAAAAATTTCTCTACAGATTTCCTTAGTAAAAGTTTGGTAAGATAACTGAAATCATTGATTAAATCATAGTGAATGATCCAGATTTTGAAAAAAGTGCAAAAGCAAAATGAAGCATTTTGGATGTGATCTTCCACTACTGACATTTACTTAAGGAAAGAAAAAAGCAACAAATGAAACTTCACAACTTTGCAAAAGAACAAGAATTTCAGAAAAGTTAGGACCTTCATCACAAAAAATGAACTTTACATTTCTGTGTGCATATGTTTGTGTGTTATTTAACATATATTATTATGCAAATTAATATAAAAATAACTTAAAATTGAAGTAAAATTTGTTGATTTTTCGTTGCATGTTCCCCTATCCCTATTTACTTTATGTTAAAATGACCTCATTTAACACTGTTTCGCTTAGCGCTTTGTTATCTAGGAACACATCCCCTGCATTAAGCGGGGTCTTACTGTATATCTTTTAGTATGTAAAGTTTAATTTGTGATGGCTGTTAAACATGAATTTTGTCATGTTTGTGGTTTCAAGAATATACCTAAATTTTATGTTGTATAATATGTTATTACNATTATTTTAAAGTTCTGCTGAAATTAATATACTATGAATTTATTTTAATCAGTAAGATAACAGGATTTATTTTTATACGAATATTTTATAAATTTAACAGTTTACTATATTTTTCTTATTTTAAAATTAAATAATAACTATACAGCAAAATACAGGTAAAGCTAAATATTAACTAGACTTTAGAAACACAATAATGAATCAGTGCCAAATAAGAATTTTAGATGTTATATATCTCTTTTGTTGAATTCTGCTTTACCATCAAAAGCAATTTTGGCACAAGTAAAGTATTAAAAAGAATTTGATCTAAATTTAACAGATATATTAGAAAAATGCTTGATATTATTGATTTAAGCTATTAATTAATATAAAAATGGGATTAATATAGAAACCAAGTTACTATTTCATAGCAATTGAAATAATAAAATTATTATTTCAATTTATTATTATTATATATTGTTATCCAAACAACATGAACTGTAATCAAAGCAAAATGTCGTTTGCATTAAAGTACATGACACAAACTGGATTAAAACACAATCAGTCAAAAAGGTTTTGAATATTAGTCATGAAAAATTGATCAGTCAAACAAATCAAAGTTTTGGCAAAAGTCGAGATATTTTCAACTTCAAATAAAAATTAAAATTCTACCGATTACTGTGGATATGCTTAGCTATCAGCTTTACTTGTTCATATATATATTTCTGTTATGCTATTTTTGTTAAGATCTTATATAATCTACATCAAAGTTATATTAATTAATATATAAAATTGTGTTATAATATATAGCATTGTCTCTAACCTTCTAAATGACAAAAACACAATTTTTGTCATTTAGAAGTTTAGAAACAATGTTACTATAATTTTAAAATGAATAAAAAATACAGAAAATACATGACTTTAAATCCTCTTTTTCATTAATAAAATATTTTAATACATTTTTGACTAAAAATGAATTTCATTCTATATCTGTATTTTTTTTAATAATGAAGTTTATTACTTTTGTTATGAAATATATGAAAATATTGGACTTTAAATATAGCATTGAAGTTTTACTTTGTATAGTTTAAATGCTACATCTTGTCTTTTATTTTATATTTTAAAAAATAAACAGTATTAATACTGTTAATAATTATTTTTAAAATATTATTTTACTTTATATAAAAAATTATTTAATACTGAATAAGAATCTTATTTTTCATTTTATTATTTGGCATAGAAATTTTGAATGAAAAATATTATGTACAAATTTTGTATTTAATGTTCTAATGTATTGAATAAAACAGATTAAACTTTATTAGGAAAACGGTTTACAAAAAAATGCAACATATATTTAATAATTTAGATGATGCAATAATGTTTTCTCATAAAATAATTAGTCTATAATGATTTTATCTATAAGATTAAAAATTTTTTTAGTTAATTAAATAAAATCACAATAACCATCATTTGAAATACTGTTTTGGTTACTACAGAACTTTCAATTGTAATTAATAGAATTTTAAAAAGTAATTTTATATTATCTAGCTACTCATTGGAATTTAATTTTATCAACAATGCTAAAAATTTTTAAATTTTAATTTTGATGAATTTTATTTTATAAATCCCATGTTTATGAAAATGTTTGATCTAATCATATATATATGTATATATAAACAATGTTTTTGTAATTTTATTATCAAAAGTTTTTATATACCAAATATGATTACTATTTTTGATATTGGTTTATATGTTTTAGTTAAGAAATTTGCTTTAAATATATAAAATTTAGGACGTTTTTCACAATTTAGCAATTGAAAGTTTTAACTTGTTCAGTAGATGTACTTTCAAAGGCACTAACCTCTTCATTGGTCCCAATCCTTAATTTCTAAGACTTACTTAATTTTTCCTACAGTAGAGCCTCGATTATCCAACTCAATTGGGAACTGGGGTTGGTCGGATAATTGAAAAATCGGATAACCGAAAAGTATGAAAAAAATCCATTATTAGTATAGTATATTATTATATCCTGTGTAATTAGTATATTAGTATATCACTATTAACCTACTTTGCGTTGAATTTTCTTCGGTGTTAAGCCTAACAAAAATTTTTTAAAATAATAATCGTCACTATTGTATCATTAAAAATTAGAAAATTAAGCCTCGTTTAAATACTGTCTCCCTTTCATGGTCGAATGAGTGTTGCCAGCTAAAACACATAAAAATAATATTAAAGTAGCCAAGACAGAGCCAAATATTGTAGCGCCACATCACTAGCGGACATTTGAAATTTGCCGACTAGGATGGTCGGTTAAACCTGTCCTAGTCGGCAAATTTGGGGTCGGATAATCGAGGCTCTACTGTATTTAAAATCTTATTGTACTTATAAACTTTGAAACAGAAAATTAAACTATAAATATTTTAAATACTGTATTTTAAAATTAAAATAACTGTCAAAGTTTAGAAAATAAACATAAGTTGTGTGTGTATAGGTGTATATATAACTTTTTTATCTATATTTACTTTCAATAAAACAAATTATAGTAAAGTGCATATTGTTCTAAGTTGATATACTTTCTACTTATGATATGTATAATTTAGTCTCTACAAACTAGATCTAATATTATTACGTTTTTATAATTGAAAGAATAATTAACATTTACAATTTGTAAATCCATTGTACTATCTGTTTATATACATTATGTATATAGAAATATAATATAAGTGGAAACATTTGATGAATAATTATGAATTATGACAACATTCTAGAGCTATAAAAATTATGAAATACAAGCAATTACAAATGAAATTATTTAACGCTAAAATAATTGAACATGTATAAACAAATATAAAAATTGTGCATAGTTTTTAAATTATCATTTCTTCTCATTTGGAAATGTATAGATGAAGCGAGTGCTTGTAATGGAAAAGCAGAATGGTAGACAAAAATATAAACCTGAATTCCCAAATTAGTTTAAAATGCTGAGAATCTATTTTATGGCATTTCCTTAAGCATTGTAAGAAGGTGGTTGTTTCTGATTTTTCTCAATTATTCCAAGTGCTGATACAATTGTCTCCAATCTTTTCTCGATTCCTGACATCTTTGTTCAAATAAATAAAAGTTTTCTAATTACTTGTAAAAATTTATTAAAATAAAAATGAATACTAAATTATAATATCAATTAATCAATATATATTAAAATAAACTAAACAATTTTTAAAAAATTACTGAATACTTTCATATTTTATACCTGTTGTTCCATTCGATGCAATCTTGCTCCAATTGTCATAGGTTTCATTCCTCTTTCTGCTAAATATGAACCTGGTTTTCCAAGAGTATAATCTAATCTAGAAATTAAATTTATACTAAATACTAATAAATGAGAAATATATATTTATTAAATGAAAAAATACTAATTCCTTACATTTCAAGAACAATCAATAAAATAAAATTTATAATTTTTATTTCAATCAAAATGTATTATTGAAAAGGTAGATGCTACATTATGAAACCAACACAATAACCTGAAACATGTTAATCTCTTTTAAATATATTCAGTTAGAGTAAACATAAATTCATAATTCATGTATAACCATACTCATCATCAATTTTTTCTTCTCTGGGATGACAAAGACAATTGAGGCATTATGGCTACAAATGGCAAACTCAACATAGATTCGCTAGGTAAAAAACAAAAATCCAATCATCACAATGGGATAATATCATTGGTATGTTTTGTTTAGTTTGCTCTAGCTTAATATATTAATGTGACCAGAGGGTTGGTACCTCTTTAGTGCCTTGTCAACATAGAAACTGGCATTAGAAAACCAGTCATTTACCATTATTCATTCCAACAAACTCATCTGACCCTTTCTTGTATAAAATTGCTCCTCCTGTATTCTTACATGACAAGCTTTTACACACCATACAAACATGGAAGATTCTTTAAAGGAACTGAAACATTTAGAGGACATAGCTGTAAGGCATGAGTATAGAAAAAACTTGATTCATAGTTTGGCTTACACCTACTCCAATCAACACTCTCTACATACTGACCCCAACAACCAAGGAGGATTCAACAGCAGTCAAACACACATTCCTAATCTCAAGTGTGCTATGATGAAGTATGAATGTAATTTGCATACATTGTACAAGGAAATAGCTGATAATATAGTGCTAAGTTTCTACACAACAGAAAAGACAAGGCTGATGAATGTAGGGCTCTAGGGGTGTACAAGGTTCCAGTGAGAGACAACAGGTTCCAAAAGATCTGGTTACATTGGGTTGACTAAGCATTTCTTACGCAAAAGGTTACAAAAGCATCAATATGATATAATGAATAAAAAACACAGCATCACCTTGTCCTTTGAGAGTCTGGAGGTCAACTGCACAGAGACTGATATGCAAGCTGACCTCCAGAATGTCACATTAATCAAACAATCTTAGCAAACCAAACACATCAAGGCTCTAGAAGGTTTAAAAATCTACAAAGCTGACCCAATTGCATTAACTTTAAGAATGAAAATACATCTCATAAACTTGGCAATGTTTTTATGAAAAACCAGGCAATACTAACATAGAATTAGTTATTATTATTATTACTACATATAATTATTTCTTATATATGTATCTGTTTTAATTTTATACATCTTAAAAGGCAACTGAATGTTCATTTATTCAATTTTATATTTTATTCCAGTATTTAAAAAAAAAAATTTCAAAATTAGTTCCTTGCATTCCAATTTAGAATGCTGTTGACCTGAAGCAGATCTTGTGCAAGATTGAAAACGTTTGCCAAATTTACATTAAATTACTGGATTGTCAAGGTTTTGATTAGTTATCAGTCCAGTTATTGAGAAGTTAATTTTGTACAGTGCATGCTAAGCCAGCTAAAATATACAAAAAACTTGTACTAGCCTTAATGAGGGCTAGGGCTAAATACAACTTCCTGTTCAATTGTCAGAAGAACAATGTATTTCCTACATCAATGTACCAAATACATCTCCCTAAGGCTTGTGAATAACTCTTACCAAAATTACAAATATCATACTTGAGAAAGGCAGTTCAAACATCAAGAAAAGCTATATATTTCAAGCTCAGAAAATTGATAAGGATGAAATTGATAAACCTGTTGCAAAAAATATTTCAAGAAATTAAATTGGATATTCAAAATGCAAAAACCAAGTAAAGAAGCCTATTATGCTGTTAATTTGTTGGGATAACATTTCTCCTCTGGATTATCTCATATGCACCATTACGTATGATTCCATATAATCCTCTGTTTTACCAAGCCTCATCCAGAGTGTGTAATACTTAATACCAAGAGACTCATCATCAGAATGAAAGATACTAAAGAATATTACCAATGGAAAGCTGCCTTTAAAATCACCAATTACTATCATTGTCCTTTTCTGTTGTCAATTCTAGTAGTTCTTCAATGTCATCATACATTTTTTCTACTGATTCTTCCTCTGAGTTAGAAGTTGGAAAATATTCCTGAATTATCATCAAGTCTGTGTCGGTTTACTGCTAAATTTTATCATTTACATGGCATGTATTACATATGCTTTGTGCCCATTCCTTGCTAAGCATTATTGCAACTCCATTCCTTCCAGCATTCTCTCTTCCATTATGAATTATCCTAATGTCATCATTGTAAAAATCACCAATTCCCTTCTGTCTTGTTTCATATAGTCCTATAATATGTATTTTATTCCTACACATTTCATTCTTGGCTTCTTTTAATTTTCTTTATTGTACTGGGATTTTGTTGGTTAATGACATGAGAGGCGTAGATCTTTTTTTCCTTCCCAGCTAGATCTTGGGGTCTGAGGTCCATGATCAGTAATGTTGAGACCCATGTTTAAGTTTTGTTTACTTTATGGCTACTTTTTACAATTTTTAAATTTTACAATAATTGGAATAAATAATAATATATGACCAAAGCAATATAATGAAAACATCATGTTTAGTTTCCTGAAATTTAATTTATTACATTTCTTGGTTTAATAGATACACTGTATGGCAAAATATTTGAAACTATCAATGACTATTTATTATACATTTTAAAAAGTCATAAATAATTGAATAAAATCTGAATCAAAAGAAATGTGTGTGAAAATGAAAAGTATGTCAAATGAAAACTATATGGACAATTTAAATATCTTTTGGTGGTAAAAAAAATTTTGAACTAAAAAGTAAATTGTTAAATAAGAAGCCATTTCATTATCAGTTCTTACCTTCTCTGTAATTCTTTAATACGAACCATCATATTCAAGTGACCTTGAGAATATTGTTCTATCACATCTCTAACATCATATGGCTTTCTTGCTTGCTAAAATATAATAATTTTTCATTATATTTTTTGTAATTATTTGTAACATTATGCTAATTAAAATTATTTTTCTTCTTATTTTATAATTAAAATAGTTTCATCATTATACAGTAATTTCCCAGTTTACATGAATTCACTTTAATGTAATAATAAATGTTACAGAAATAAGAGTGTCAATCAAAAAGTGTGGTTTTTGTTAAACCTCTTATATAGATGTACATTTTAAAAATTTTAGTTAAAATTTTTCTGCCTCACTAAGAGTAAAATACTATATATGAGATTATGGAACAGGCTCATTTACATGGTTATCATGGAATCAATTACTTGCATAAATGGAGGGATAACTGTATTTGAATTTAAATATTAAAGTAGTATTAGTTAATTTATAGATATATTAATATTTTAAAAATATCTGTTTTATATAACTAGAGATTATTAGACAAACATTTTTGGCTTGTTTCAAATATCAAAGTACAAATTGAAGAAAAAAAATATATAATTTAAAAATGGAACACTCTGATATGTTATAGAAATATTTCAAAATTATTATTATTTTTCAACTTTGTTTTTTATAGTAAAATTCAGCTCAATGAAACTATTCTGAACATTTATTTTGCACTGCTAATCCCATGTATATATATTTCTTCCATAAATAAATAAAGTAAAAATACTAGAAATTTGGATTCAAAGTAGAGCAAAAATTAATGAATAGATAATAATAATACAGGCAATTCAATAAGAAATGTATTAATGTATTACTATTTAAATATTAAATAATTAAAATAGTAATATTATAGAAAAAGACATCTTAACATGTTTTAGGTATTTTAACATTTCAAAATATTTTTATTTTCTAATAATGAATTTTATATATACAATATATAAATTATAAGTGTAAATCTGTATTTTTCAAATTCAATTCCATTGTTATCATTTATAAACATTTAAAAAAAGTTGTGCAACTTATTATTACTTCTGAGGTTGTAGATTTGCTGTTAATTATTAACATTTGATAATAGTAATAGTTGTAATATAATTATTTATAAATTAGAACTTCATTATCATTCAATATGCTAACAACTAATTAATTTAATTTTACTGACACTGATTATTCATTTAATAAAAATTCAATAACTAATATCTGTAAGTAATTATTTTTAAAATAGCCTGTATTTTCATTTATGAATTAATTAGCTATATTCATTTATTTCATACAGAATAAAATTTTTGTAATAACATTTGAAAATGATGCTGGAGTTTTAAGATATTATTTAAAAATATAAAATTTGATCCATCAAATCTTTCTTCTCTCCAATTTTGATATATTTAGGATGATATAGAAATTTAAGAATAGATCCAGGCAACATGAATTTTACAATATTCTTTTATAAGAGATTATATCTTATAAAACTGAATTGTGAATAAAGAAAGTGTAATAAAAACATAACTGTAATTCATATTTTCATAAAAATTTGAAATATGCAAAAAAATTTATAAATTACTGTAGTTTGAATAATGATTTAATTATGGTAATGATAAAGGTCTTAAAATAAATCTAAACCAAGGTATAAAGTCAGATTTACTACTATTACTCAAAATTTCATAACATGAATGGAAAATCAATACACAAACAGATCTTAATATTTTTTGTAACAATTTTTTGTAATATAAGGGAATCCATATGGGTTGGGCTAATTTGACAACTGTATCATAAGAAATATATAAATTGTATGATGTTCAAATTCTACTACAATAGAAAAGTAAGGCAGGATTTCATTGGAAGTTATGTCACATGACAAAAGTGAAAATTGCAATTACCATGGAGCAACACACTAAGTACAGTAAGACCCTGCTTAACGCTGATTCAATATAATGCGGCCTGCTTGAAGCCTAAAAATCACTCAAAATTTATGCTGAATTAAATTATCATGGAATTTCATTGATTCGTATATAATACGATTATTTGCGAACACAAACCAATCAGCAAAAGCTGGCAAAACAGTGTACTTTCTTTAAATCTATGTTGTTTGGTGCAATTTTGGAAAAAATATAACATCATGGATGCCATAGGAAATATTGACTTTGCTTGGCAAGAATTAACTGATAAATGCACGAACGAAGTGTGCAAGAAGTTATGGCTTAAGGTATCCAAGAATTCTCAACGAGAAGAGCCTATCTCTGTATCGTTAGCTTGACCAAACTCAACCTAATCGATATAGCAGGACTGGGAGATATATACAAGCAGGATATTGAGTAGTTACAGCAGGTTTCTGGTGAGAGCCTTACCAACGACAACCTTCAAGAACTGGCAGAACATGGAATTCATGTGGAACTGGAAAATAGAGATTTTGAAAACAAAGAACCCAAAAAATTTCTCTACAGATTTCCTTAGTAAAAGTTTGGTAAGATAACTGAAATCATTGATTAAATCATAGTGAATGATCCAGATTTTGAAAAAAGTGCAAAAGCAAAATGAAGCATTTTGGATGTGATCTTCCACTACTGACATTTACTTAAGGAAAGAAAAAAGCAACAAATGAAACTTCACAACTTTGCAAAAGAACAAGAATTTCAGAAAAGTTAGGACCTTCATCACAAAAAATGAACTTTACATTTCTGTGTGCATATGTTTGTGTGTTATTTAACATATATTATTATGCAAATTAATATAAAAATAACTTAAAATTGAAGTAAAATTTGTTGATTTTTCGTTGCATGTTCCCCTATCCCTATTTACTTTATGTTAAAATGACCTCATTTAACACTGTTTCGCTTAGCGCTTTGTTATCTAGGAACACATCCCCTGCATTAAGCGGGGTCTTACTGTATATCTTTTAGTATGTAAAGTTTACATTTGTGATGGCTGTTAAACATGAATTTTGTCATGTTTGTGGTTTCAAGAATATACCTAAATTTTATGTTGTATAATATGTTATTACATACTCGAAGAAATGGGGTCAATTATGAAGCCACACACTCCATTGGTCGTAAGCATGAACCTGAGAAAGAAACCATTGTTTTCACTGTACTGGTGCATAGCCCAAAGAAAAGTCTATGATGGTTGTACTTGAAACTGACTCTAATATACACAATATGTAACACATTGTTCAATATTTCCTGAAAATGTACCTGTAGTACTTCTACATGTATGTAATATGGGTGCATTTTCAGGTAATGTCAATAGGACAGTGCCATTTTCTCTTTTGNTTTCTCTACAGATTTCCTTAGTAAAAGTTTGGTAAGATAACTGAAATCATTGATTAAATCATAGTGAATGATCCAGATTTTGAAAAAAGTGCAAAAGCAAAATGAAGCATTTTGGATGTGATCTTCCACTACTGACATTTACTTAAGGAAAGAAAAAAGCAACAAATGAAACTTCACAACTTTGCAAAAGAACAAGAATTTCAGAAAAGTTAGGACCTTCATCACAAAAAATGAACTTTACATTTCTGTGTGCATATGTTTGTGTGTTATTTAACATATATTATTATGCAAATTAATATAAAAATAACTTAAAATTGAAGTAAAATTTGTTGATTTTTCGTTGCATGTTCCCCTATCCCTATTTACTTTATGTTAAAATGACCTCATTTAACACTGTTTCGCTTAGCGCTTTGTTATCTAGGAACACATCCCCTGCATTAAGCGGGGTCTTACTGTATATCTTTTAGTATGTAAAGTTTAATTTGTGATGGCTGTTAAACATGAATTTTGTCATGTTTGTGGTTTCAAGAATATACCTAAATTTTATGTTGTATAATATGTTATTACATACTCGAAGAAATGGGGTCAATTATGAAGCCACACACTCCATTGGTCGTAAGCATGAACCTGAGAAAGAAACCATTGTTTTCACTGTACTGGTGCATAGCCCAAAGAAAAGTCTATGATGGTTGTACTTGAAACTGACTCTAATATACACAATATGTAACACATTGTTCAATATTTCCTGAAAATGTACCTGTAGTACTTCTACATGTATGTAATATGGGTGCATTTTCAGGTAATGTCAATAGGACAGTGCCATTTTCTCTTTTGTCATGTGAGAAAACTACCCAAAGAAACTTCTGCCTTATTGCATCATTGTGGCAAAATTTGAATTTCATACAACTAATATGTTAGCATGGTAGAACTTTGAAATTATCCTAACCCATTGTGTTACTTTCTCCAATATCATATATAATATAGGGTGATCTACCCTATATTATATATGATATTGGAGAAAGTAACAAAACTCAAATTTTGAATCTATGAAAAAATTTAAAAATTTCTTAAATATTTTTTCAGTTAATTTAATTCAATTTACTATATTTTTAATAATATTAAACTTAATTAAGATGAATAAAATACCATTAGGAATTCAAAAATTAAAATATTACCTGAAATTTTCTTCTTGCTACAAAATATTTGATTTTTCTAATTGCTCTAATTGCATTTCTATGCGCTTCAGTTAATCTAAAGTTTATTAATGAGAATAAAATTATTAAATTTATAAATAATTTATTGTAAAAAGATTTATAAAATGTTTGTTAATTATATAATGTATAAAACAATTCTTTTTTTATATATTTAATATATTTATTTTTCATTAAAAATCATTACAGAAAATCCTCATTAATTAGAACTCAGATAGCTTGAAATTCAGTTAGTTTGTAACTGTACTTTTGTCCTGGCTGGGGATATAGAAATTTACATGTTAAGGAATTTGGTTAGTTTGAAATACGGCTACTTCAAAATTGAAGTAAAAATTCTTTCTGAACTGTGATATGAGTATGTTAACTTGTTCGTTTAGATCAAAGTGCCTCCATGCTATAAGACAGTGTTTTTTTTAACATTTTTTATCTCATGGCATACTTAAATCTATAATTAAATTTCCACAGAAAAAAAATCACATGATTTAAAGTTGTTTGTAAACTTTCTATTGCCATATAACTATGCCACTTAACCTAATTCTTTTTGTCTATATTTTTTGTAAATTAAATAAAACAGTATTGGTGATCTTAAAATAACAGTCAGTTACAACAATAGTTATATAAATTAGTAATTTTCATTTACATAAGAAAAGCAATTAATATTGTCTGATTTGCTTTTAAAAGTGGTATGATAACTGTCTTTATAAACCTGCCCAATGTTCCACTATTTCTAAGTTAAAATAATTTGAACTAAATATGGATAATTATAGACACATTTTTGATTTAAATAAAATAAACTCAGTGTTATATAAACATAATTTTGCTTATGGATATATATTTTTTATTACATTATGTATACATATATTTATTGTAACAATGAAAAACTCGTATAATCAATTTAGAAAGGTTTTAATTTTGACATGTACACTTATTGTTCTTTGGGCTTCTTTTGAAAATAATCTATTTAATAGCCTTCAAAAATATTTGCAGCACACTTATGATCTTCTTACGATTCTCTATGATCCTCTTATACCAGTGATTTTCAACCAGTGTGCTGGTTGAAAATCACTGCTATAAGAGAACAATAAACTAACAACAACTCTAATCTGGTCAATATATCTTTGCTTTTACAGTAACACAATTTTGGGAGTCACCTTACCCATGAACTACCTTTTTTTCTCTTATCTCATAAAACACAATTGGGTTTTAGGGTTGAAAGATTGGGCTACAATCAGCAAATTGAGATATCTGTAGGGCTCTAAACTACTAGATTCGACTTACTTTTTAGCCACTTTAAAAATAATTTAAGCTATATTTTGAGGAATTTTGCTTTACTTTTTATAAATCTACTGGCAACCTGTGAAGTTCTTACCTGACACATGCTGTTTACCTGCAGTTTATTTATATTATTATTATGTTGGGTTTTGTGAGTTATACTCGGTTCACACCGGTGGCTGTGTACTATGCCGGACCAGAGTCAAGGCATAGCAACCAAAACAAAACTAAAATTAAATAAGTGTGTCAGTGTCTGTATTCAGGAATTTCCTAACAATATGGCATGTATTCAATATAGTGGCCTTCTGTAGTGTGATGTATGTATTTCTACTCAATTGTAATGTTCCCAGGCTTTTGTGTAGTGTGTGTGGTATCACACCTGTACAGGAGAGAACAACAGGTACAATAAGCACCCTATCCATCCTTTATTATTATCTAACAAAAATAGCATTCTGTATATGTAGCCATATTCCATTTGCTTAATAAATTACATCAGTTACATGGCATTTGGCATACGGTACAAAAATTTGTAAATTTTGGATAATTCAAAACTCTATAAATTGAAGTTGCAATTATTCTGTCCCTTGAATTTTGAACTATCATGGGTTTCCTGTACAATATTAAAAACTACAGATACAAATCTTCAAAAATTTTTCAGAATATATTTTCATTAAAATTTTTTAGCAAGTTAATTAAACCAGGTGACACAATTTTTCATAACAGATAATTCTATTTGAGTTAAATTTATATTATTTATGATAAATCTTTCAATTATTGCTAGAAATTAAGAAAAATTGTCTTTCATTCAATTTTTAATTCTCTGATGAATTTTATATAGATAAAAAATTTCTCTTCTCTTACAATAGATGATAAAAACTACTTTTCAATTTTAACTGTATCTGATAATTTACTTTAAAATTCTTATATTAAAGTTATTTGAATTGTTGTACCATAAGAAGTTGTATCAATTTTGAAATGAAATCATTGTTGTGATATAAATATTTTGAAACAGTTGTGGAATAATCTTTTGTCAGTTTATTTCCCTCTAAAATTTAACTACAAACATAACTACAATTATATATTAGAGATTTTTTTTATAGGTTTCATTTAAAAATGAATGAAATACAGTATAAGAAATTTCTTTTGGTAATTTTAGATTTTGTGTATACAGTTCAGTACAAAGGTACTCTCTTAAGGAAGAGAGCACCTTTGTGATCACTGTATTATGCTTCCTTATCCGGAGTGCTCTCTTATCTAAAGCAAAAACAAGATCATCCAGGAGAATTTTTAATAGTATTTGATTCTCTCCACTGTCTTGGGAGATCTATAACACATTTGGAAACATTAAAATTCATTATCACATATTTTAACTATTACTTACATACTGTTTTGCATTCTTATATTATCAATTTTATTGTTCTATTGAATAATCAGTAAATACAATATATTTACTAGTCACATTACTTTCACTTCTTCCCAGAAATACAATAGGTCAAGCTGAAAAGATGTGAAAATCCATGCTTCAAAATTTTTGAATGTCCTCTAATAGATTGTACAGTATAAAAACAAATAAATATGGTACCATCTTAAACTAATCTTATGTGACTTCTGATTGTTAATTACTTCTTATCTTGTCCTCTCAAGATGAGAACATATATCATCTGCATTGTTTGTTCATATATATTTTATTATATCTTTTTAACATGTAATTGCTTCTCATATGTGTCAAATAAAACCTGCTTATTATGATTCTATAAGAAATCTTTTGTCTGTCCATGTACTTGAAAAATGACCAATGAAAACTTTCACCAAATCGCCAAAAATTGTAAATGTTATCTGTACAAAGTGTCTTCCAACTGAATGTTCCATAGTGCATTTTGGATATTGTGTATATTTATTTCTACACAGCCATGATTAGTGTCTTATGCATGTTTTGTTCTTCCTTCTTGATCCAGCTTGCTTCATCTTTGTGTGTGATTAGATTGGATCAGAGTAGATCAAAAACGTGTTATCTGTTTTTCTGTTGGTGTATCATTAAGCTACAGTTATGTGTTAGGTTTGGTATGTACAGTACTTGTTCACAGAAAAGTTTTTCATTGTTTGTGAATAACTTTATTTTCTTGTTTTCATAATATTATTATATATGTTAGACTCAAAGATAAAAAATGTTTATTGAGTGAAAAATTGATCATAATGCATCCTGACTTCTCAGATTCAACCACAATGCAAATTTTGTGTTGTGGCACTTTCAAAAATGCACACAATGCATTTTGGAATATTCAATAAGACCACAAGTGAACACAAAGTGAAATTCATGTCAATATTCTTTTAGTAACCAACCAAAATGCAATCTGGCAATGTGAAACTATCCCAACCCACATTGTGGATGCTTATTAATGGTGGGTTCCCCTAATTTAAAAGGGAAAGTAATGAATAGTAATCAAATACTGTTGTTTGGAAAGGTATATTTTGTTTTTATTATTAATTGAAACACTTGTTTTTTACTTATTTCTTAACTAAGAATTTTTTTCCTTAATAAGACTTCCTTACTTTCAAACATAGCTGTGTTTCATCCATAGCTGTGTTTCATGTGTGGCAAGCTATTTAATTAAATTTGTTCAGTACTTTTATTTTGTACAGTTATAAGAGCTGTATTTATAAAGAGTTTACTTATTTGTTTTTATTAATGTAGATGCCATTAATTAATGTAAATGTTACTGATATTAAAATTAAATGTCAACATAAATGCTACTAATGCTAGCACATCAGTAAAACTTGACACAGCCTTCTTGAATTCTTGAGAATTTGTTCTTTTCACACAATGTATTTTTTCAGCTTAGTCATTCCCAATGCCTAAGAAAGCAAAAACTCTCTTGAATGAAAACACCAATAAAAAAATTACCCTAAAAAATCTCAATGTTATAAAAAAATGTGTTAAATTCAGTATAAGAAGTCATAATTAAAATATAAATATAAGCCTATATGTAATAAATTATTAGCATAAACGTTGTTTTAAAAGATTAATTAAATATCTTTTATAAATTCTTACATTGTTAATCGAGGTGGATCATCTATATCAATTTCTATTTCATCAGAAATTACATCTGTTGTGTTACTCTGATTAGTGTTTAATTTACCTTCTTTTTTTCCTCTTAATGTCAGTCCTAAAATATACAAAGCAAAACTTTAATATTTTTCATTTCAATGAATCAACAAGATAATATACAGTCGACCCCCCTATAACGTGGGTTCCTATAACGGAAATTCCTATAACATAGCAAAAAAATTGCAGAAGTATTCGTATAAAGGGACTCGTAAAACGTTGTCGCCGACTCGTGTTGCGACAAGATTGGTCGAATCTGGACCAATATTGGATGAGCAGCCGAACTACTTTCCGCCGTCCAGTGCCACGCTACGGAAAGTTCAGGCGGGTAAATTGAGTTTGCTATCGTCTGTACAGTATTATATATAAATTAGGTACTGTACATATAATTATATATTAATTATATATAAATTAGGTACTGTATATATAATTATATATTAACTTAATTTATTGTAACTTTATTATAATTATATATATGCTTTCTGCCGCCTGGCAACACGCTACGGAGATTTTAGGCTAGTAAGTTGAGTTTACTATCATCTGTACAGTATGTAAATTACGTACCGTAAGTCTAATACAGCACTAATTTTATACATTTCTTGTGAAAGAAACATTTTTTATTCAAGCGTAGTCGAACGGTGCACACTCGGTAAGTAATCCTACAATTTTTTGTTTATAGCATAGTTTATACAGATTATTCCCCAAAAATTATACGTGTTTTGGAAATGTTGAGTCAAATTAGTCTAGAATCAATTAATTTTATGGAAGAAAACCTTTCAAACAGCCGTAGTCCGTAAACTTTACACGTGACGGGCTGCGATTGGCTCATGTATTTAAGGATTCCTACAATGTGAAATTCGAATAACGTGAACGTATCTAAGCGTTATAGGGGGGTCTACTGTATATAGCAATTTTACATAAATGAAAAGTATAAATAGAGCCCATAATTGCCCATAATTCACTACATGACAATGTTTTTGTTCAAAATTCAGTTTACTGAATTTTGTGATAGTACATTTACATCTTTATCTTAAAATTTCAGAGTCAAATAATTCCAACATTAATATCTATAAGAGATATAACAAAATTATATCTCTAACATATCTTCACATTAGCTAAGTTATAAAGCCATATTAAAAAGTACAAAAATGTTTTCCATTTCTTAATGGATTCAAATTTCCATGATAATTTCCTAATCTTTTCTAAACTTATTTATAATAACATCTGGATATAATGCTTTTGTTGCACCACAACCATTACAAATATCTCAATAATGAAAACAACTAACTTTACATATATATATAAACTAAAGTATCACCTGACTAATGAATAAATGGAGTTTGCTAAACAGTTAAACCAGTGGCGTGCCGTGACATTTGATGATAGGGAAGCTGTGTTTCTATAAGAAGCCGACTTCCAGGGGCAATCAGTCAGCAATGGTCTAGGGTCCATTCTTATTCGTTTGTTTGATAAGCCAGTAAAAACCGTAGACTTCTCTAAATGTATTTTTAATTAATAGATTATCTAACGCACTTAATAAATAAGCAAGTTCAATATAATTAACTCTCTTATATTATATTTAATAGATTCTATACGCCCTCTAAATGCCAATTCTTGCTTCGATAACATCTACTAATTAAAATATATCTTAGAACTAGGGAATAAAATATATCGTTTATGGTTAGAACTACCCTAGTTCTAACCATAAACGATGCCAACCAGCAATCCGCCTGAGTTCCTAAAATATATCTATTAGCCATAACTATCTTGTTATAATTTTCAATATATATTTTATATTGTGTACTAATGTTAAATTCTATTCTATTTTGATTTCCAAATTGCTTCAATTTTACGAAAGAATCGATGCGAGATTTAGGATTTTCGTGTCTTTTGCCAGCTTTACTCAAATTATTTAAATCGTCAAAGCCAATCTCATTCTACACACTAATTTTATTTGAAAATAGTAGGCAAGGCCAACAAAACAAATTTTGCATTTTTATGCATCCACAAAGCCATTTTATATCTTCATAAATTTTATCATGAAAATGTCGAACAAATTTTTTCTTTTTCATTATATGGTCTCGAGCCAAAACTTTTTGAAATAAATTTTCGATATCACAATTACATTCTAAATTGCTAGCTATAATATAAGGGCTAAAATTAAAAATAAAATTATAAAAACTTACTTGTTAAAATAAAATGTGTGATGATATACAATTATACATACCTGGTACAAAATATTCAATTGTATGAATATACTTTTAAAGAAAATTATAAATATAGTTTTGTGAAGAAACGTACATAAAAATAACATAAAATAGTCTTTACTTTTTAAATATTAAAACAATCCACCTAGTTAAAATTGCTCCCTACCAGTGGCTCGTGGATGGAATCAGAGACGGTCTTGGTAGGTGTGCGGTGCGGTGCATGCTTGCCAAATCCCGAGGGTGCCGATACCGGTTAATGTCTCTTTTGTCTCATCACTAGTATATCTCAAAGGACGCGACAGGGTTGTTGTAAATTTTAAACGTTTCTCATCATAGCTGTAAAAATCTAAATTTGTTAAACTTAAAAGTCATTTGTTTTCTAACTACTGTAATTCGTTTTAAGACCAGGTGTCCACGGAAATTTCCAAAATTTACAACTTTTACTCACTTTCATTGAACTGGAAAAATTTCTGTCTTTATTACATCTAATATTACGAAGAAATCAGTCCCACTGTACTCGGCTAGATATTGGTCCGGTTAGGCTTTTGTTTAAGTAAAATTCCGGCTCTTTCATCAGGGTTTTGTTTACGTCCCCAATTCCCTAATCGCTTAATTATTTAACTACTTCTTAAGTAGAAATAAGTCGAAACCAGTTACTTTGTACTCGAATATTTGTAGTCTCGGGAAAAAAGTGGAAAGACAAATTTTTACGACAACGGATACATAAATCGTAAATTTAAGGAAAATAAATTCTAGAGCCTTTTCTGTACCTCGTGCATCTCTCTCATTCATTAAATTTAGTTGTAAATGATGCTGTCGAAGTAACGGTTAATTTTTTAACATTATACAAGAATTGTACACGTTTTTTTCTACATCCCCTTAAAGATGGGATGTACGAAATCGTAATATCACTGGTTTAACATCGAAATCCGTGAGTAATATAAAATCGGAGAGCGGAATAAATATATCAAATATTTTAATGGATTTTTTAAACTCCTGTCAACTATACAGAACTATCGTAAAAACATACCAGTAAATTCTTATCGGTTGGGTTAAGTTATAAATCTACTCGTTATTCACGTAATCGAAATATCTAGTGGGCAGGCGGCTAACAGCCCAGAACCGGTCCTTGATAGAATTGGAATCTTTATATGTGTGCAGCTTTCACCCAAGTTCGTAGGCTTCCACCGGCTAAACCGGGTGAGGATGGTGCTCTGTAAAGCGCATGCACAAATCTGGCTTTTCGTAATCTGAAAATACAGGAGATTCCACTCCACCACTAATATTCTAATATACAATAGCAATTTTTTTTTCCCACGTGTAGTATAGAAATTTGTAATAAGATACATAATACGGTTATAATAAAATATTGTGCGATTATTTTCATATAATTAAAATTAATATTTATTTATTTTTTAGAGAATACAAGGGAAGCAGCACTTCCAACACTTCTAATGACGGCACACCACTGAGTTAAACATTTAATCGTACAGTTTATGATAAAAAAGAATTCATCTTGAGTTAATGTCATTCTTAATCTTAAATTTCAAGTTATAGTAATCCTTATATAATAATGAAAATTAAACATTAAAAATTACAAGAAAAATAAAACTTAGTTTATTTTAAAACCATTAGTCCTGAGATATTTAAAGTTATTAATTTTTTTCCCTGTTAGTCAGTTATTAAGATAAATAAATTGATAAAAAACTTGCATATTGGTATAGTTGGGAAAGTATACTTTGTCCAATTGCATAGTAAAAAAGAAAAGAAAGAAAAACTTTTGTTTGATACAATAATTGTCAGTGACATCAGACATTTCAATGCAAACTGCTCAACATGTATACATGATTTATAGCATGCAACATATCACTGTAATACACAAGCTTTCTGTCCAACAGACTCAGATTTGTATTTGTTGCAACTGAATATTATATAAAATAAAAAATTCAAAAAGAAATTTAATTTTGTTAAAATTTCATTCTGTAAAACATTATTTCTGGAATTTAAGCAGCTTTAGACACCTTAGTTTGATTTCAGTAATTGACCATATAATGTGTCTTATTTCTACAAGCATTTTTAATAATCTTTCTTTATCATTGTTCATGACAATTCAAAACACAAAAAATAAGTAAAAATATGATAAAATTTTATGTTAAATGTTGTTTGAGTTATGTCAATCAATTCTCTGATGGCAAAGTGTATGAAATAACACTTGTGGAAAAAATGGACTATTTGAGAGAGATGCAGAAATTATAGATACAAGCAGAGATTTGACATCTTAGTACTTTTATTAAACNCCAACTGTTCGAACAGAACTGCTCACATAAAACACACGAAATGTGTGTCATCGAGTAAGAATTGGATGGGGAGATTCACATCGCAACATGCTTCTGTGCAAGCAGACACGTAACAGGGATGGGTACCTTGACGGGAGGTGCGTCGGACTACTGAGCATGTTGGATTAAAAAACGTCAAACTATAGAGGGACAACTGTACATTACAAAACTCCTTCCAGTAACAATGTTTTAATAGAATACAAACATTTTCGATCTCCTCCTGAGATCTGCATCAGGTTCTATAATAAAATTCTATAATAAAATGTATCAAACAAAACATCAGCAGAATTCAAATTTAAATTGATAAATTCAAATAATTTATGTGACTGAATATGATTGAACCAATCAGGAGTATGAAGGTGTTAATATAGTTGCCTAACTGGCATGCCTTAAAGATCTCCAAGGCCTCTAAATCTCTAATATGGTCATTATGCCACATATAATGTATCAATCTTAACTGTCAAGTTCAGCCTCAACTTTGTTGTCAGAGGCAGATATGGACAGACTGCTAAGGGAGATAGGCCTCACTCAAAGGTATAGCCCGTAAAAGAAACGGAAATAAGGAGAAAAGTTGGCGAAGATATTAGGGTGAAGGGGAAATACAGGTAGACAGAAAAGGTAGGACAGGACCAACGCCCCCATGGGGACTATAATCATATGTATCTCTTTTATTTTCAATTCCAAACAGCATTTATACAAATTTATACAGAAGTTTACATTGTAGACATTTTGCAAATAGCCAAAATCGATATGAAGATTTTGACAATTATAAGTACAAAAGAATACTATGAGGAAATAATAAGGAATTTACAAATATATACATTGTTTACAAAATAAAAGTATTCCCAAAATTTGAAAAAAAAAAAATAAATAAATAAATGTAACTGGTCATATCGCGTTGCTGTTTACAACTGAATATTTTTCGACAAATTTATGTAATTATGTTAAACTGCTAATGAATATTTGTATTAAAATACAAAAAAAAAAATTATTATATTATTAAAAGGTAGCAGTGTGAACTAAGTTTACCATTTTAATTTTACTTGGCAATAGAAATGTTAATGCAATTCTGCTTATATGAAGCTTAACATATTAATAATAATAAGAAGAAATATGTATAAAAATAGTATGGTGCGGTATAATTGACACCCGACATTATTAAATTTAATATGATGCTAATTTAGGATTTTTATATCCTGTATGAATTTCTTTAATGCTTTATGTATCTTCTTGTTTTCTGTGAAGATTTTTAGTTCACAAGGCCAAAGTTCATTCTCTGACAGGATCACTGCAATAAGTTCCTTTCACTGTCTTGTGTAGTTGGGACAGAAGAATATGATGTGCTCTGGGTTCTCTGTAGCATTTTGAGAGCAAGGGCAAAGCCCGTCAGTTTTATTTAAGAATCTATTCAGGTAACTACAAAAATTGCCATGACATGTGTACAGTTGGGTCATATTGAAGGATAGATTTAAGTGTTTTAGTTTTTGGCAGTGTTGAACATTAGGCAAAAACTTATAAGTGAACCATTTGGGCAAGTTTCACACCGGTCTGCCAGCTGTTTAGAGTATGGGCTCTCATTTGATTGGTTAGCCCAGTGTTTCTCAATGTGGGCAATTTTCCATGTTCAGGGGGCGATTAGAAACAATTTATATTTTGGGGGGCGAAAAACAATTTCTGGGCTATATAGTAAAACATTATATTAAGAATAATTAGATATTTTATTCGTTATATCGTACAATAATTAAACAAATAACATTATACTAGTCACTATTCTATTCAATGCAGTACAAATTTGGTGTTAGCCTTGTCCCTCGGTATCGGAATTTTGTAGTGAAGAGGGCGATACTACGTCGAATTTTGTAGTGAAGGGGGGGAATTTTGTAGTGAAGGGGGCTATGTGAAGGTTTTATTGAAGGGGGCGATACTACGTAGAAGGGGGTGACAATTCGTTAGAGGTTGAGAAACACTGGGTTAGCCAAACAGGTGGAATTGAGCTGAAAGAGTAGTTTGAACATCTTACCGGGGCCTCTTTTGTTTCCTTTTTGTTTCTCTTTCGAAATCAGCTCTTTCGTTTCCTTTGTTTCCTGAGTGTCCTTTTACCCACACTAAAGTTATGTTGTATTTTTGTTGTAGATGAGTGATAAGGTTTATGCTTTCATAGATTGTCGGGTAGTTTCCCGTTCAGTTTTATAAGTTGCTGCAGAACTGTTTTGCTATCACTAAAGATTGTTAATTGATTTGTCTGGTATTTCCATGCGTTCTGTTGAATCTATTTAAGTGCATTCAGTATTGCCCATGATTCAGATTGATTCACCGTGCAATGCATTGCCAATTTGTGTTGTGCTTAATAAAGGTGCTTATCGTTGAAATCAACAATCATTGAAGAACCGACGCCGTTTTTGGACTTGGATCCATCTGTATATATACATATACCATAAGGGGTATCCATTTCTTGTAGATTAATATGGTTCTCAATAGAGAACTTGGGGTGAAATGCGTGCGGTTGGGAGGTATAGTCAAAGTTATGTTTTTGAATGTAGTCCACTATGTTAGAGGCTGTGTTGCTGATGCTAGGTCCTTTTTTGTTGTTGTTAAACTCTTCTCTGTCTATTTTCTTTGTGGCAAGTTTTGTTTGGTTGTATTTCCAGTACTTTTCCTTCGCTAGCAAATCTATAGGAATGAGGTTAGTTATTACTAAAAGAGCCTCTATGGGAGCTGTTTTATAAGATTTTGCTATTGATATCACTGCAAGCCTTTGGGCTGAAAAAATCTTTTATATATANTGCAGCTTTCACCCAAGTTCGTAGGCTTCCACCGGCTAAACCGGGTGAGGATGGTGCTCTGTAAAGCGCATGCACAAATCTGGCTTTTCGTAATCTGAAAATACAGGAGATTCCACTCCACCACTAATATTCTAATATACAATAGCAATTTTTTTTTCCCACGTGTAGTATAGAAATTTGTAATAAGATACATAATACGGTTATAATAAAATATTGTGCGATTATTTTCATATAATTAAAATTAATATTTATTTATTTTTTAGAGAATACAAGGGAAGCAGCACTTCCAACACTTCTAATGACGGCACACCACTGAGTTAAACATTTAATCGTACAGTTTATGATAAAAAAGAATTCATCTTGAGTTAATGTCATTCTTAATCTTAAATTTCAAGTTATAGTAATCCTTATATAATAATGAAAATTAAACATTAAAAATTACAAGAAAAATAAAACTTAGTTTATTTTAAAACCATTAGTCCTGAGATATTTAAAGTTATTAATTTTTTTCCCTGTTAGTCAGTTATTAAGATAAATAAATTGATAAAAAACTTGCATATTGGTATAGTTGGGAAAGTATACTTTGTCCAATTGCATAGTAAAAAAGAAAAGAAAGAAAAACTTTTGTTTGATACAATAATTGTCAGTGACATCAGACATTTCAATGCAAACTGCTCAACATGTATACATGATTTATAGCATGCAACATATCACTGTAATACACAAACTTTCTGTCCAACAGACTCAGATTTGTATTTGTTGCAACTGAATATTATATAAAATAAAAAATTCAAAAAGAAATTTAATTTTGTTAAAATTTCATTCTGTAAAACATTATTTCTGGAATTTAAGCAGCTTTAGACACCTTAGTTTGATTTCAGTAATTGACCATATAATGTGTCTTATTTCTACAAGCATTTTTAATAATCTTTCTTTATCATTGTTCATGACAATTCAAAACACAAAAAATAAGTAAAAATATGATAAAATTTTATGTTAAATGTTGTTTGAGTTATGTCAATCAATTCTCTGATGGCAAAGTGTATGAAATAACACTTGTGGAAAAAATGGACTATTTGAGAGAGATGCAGAAATTATAGATACAAGCAGAGATTTGACATCTTAGTACTTTTATTAAACAATGAAAAAGTCTGAAAATCTATTTAATATATTCTTTATATATGTATTCTTCATATATACATATTTCAAATATATACTTTCATACATTCTTTGAAGAAAACAAGTTTCAAACTATTTTAATGGTTGTAAATTTTAATTATGAGAAAATTTAATATAATTAATAAAATAATTTTAGAACAAAAAATATTTTTTGAATTAGTGTTGAACTAAATAAATGAAAAGCTTTATATTTAATTTATCAAGATCATTATTGAAAAAATTATTTTATTTTTATATTACAAACAATCATCATAGGATTAAAAGTAAGAAAAATACTGTTTGTTTTCACTCAAAGAATATACTGTATTAGTAAGAAAAAATTGAAAAATAATATAAATTTCAAGATAAATTTCTTGCCTAATTTAGAATTTTAAATTCACATTATTACAAAACTAAAACATCTTTACAGCTGAATATGTTATATAGTAAGATAATGATTGTTTTTATTTCATTAATTAATTTTACAGGATTTTTAGATACATAAAATACACTTAAAACAAATAAATTTTAAATACACTCTCTTACATGATAAAAAACAAAGGATTAATTATATATAATATGTAATAACAGGAAAGAATTAATTATTACTCCATTAAGTAAATTAATTATTTACCAAGTAAATTTATATGAATTTCTTAATGTCCTTGTAAGTTTTGTTTTTCTTTTTTCATATTTTGAATTTTAAAGTTTATTAATATAATCAGGATCTAGATTTCATTTAATTAAGAGTTTTACTATATTTCAAAAAATGTTTGAAATTTCTTTAGAATAAAATTATTAAAAAGTTACCCTTAGATTCTTCGGCACAGCCAGATCCATCTGTTTCATGTTGCACTGATGTATCTGAAGACAAAATGTTTCCTAATTCAAACTTATTCTTAGATTTCCTTCTTTTTAAAACACTGGCTCGTTTTGCAACCTAAGCCATAAAAATTTTTTAATTTAAAATAAAATATATTTATTATAATAATCAATAATAAAAAAAAATTAATGATGGAAAAAACATTATTCAAACATAATTCAAACTGGTAATAATGTGAAGAATTAATTTTTGTAGATAATTTTGTCAGTGGATATTGCGGGAGCTCAATTAGTGGGAGAATTGAATGCATTTGATATTTTTGCAAATTGTTAAACAAACATTTAAACATTCAAATATTGTTACCTGTTTTTTCAAATATACAGGATTGAATATACAGGAAGAATCCATATATATGATTCAATTCTCCCATCATTAGACTCAATGAATTTTATTTTCCACACATGAAATCCATACAAAGTCAGTGCATGGTCCCCCTTTCCTATGGAATATTAATTATTTTTGAAACTTTATTTAAATAAATTTTTCATACATATTTTAAATTATAAATTAAAGCTCAAAAATTAATTTTATTGTGGAACTCCAAATTTTATCAGCAGAATGCAAGTTGCAAACTGCTGACTTAATATCCATAAAAAAAAAAATTGTCTATGACAATAAATGATACAAATAATTTTTATGTTAGCTATGTATGTAAACATTTAACATAAAAAAATTTATTTACTAAATTACAAAAAAAAAATAAATAATAATAATAGGGCAATAAAATTATGAAAAATATATTAAGCTTACTTTACCCACAATATATATACACATTATGTTGTGGCTAAAGTACACAAATCAGATAATGCAAACTTTATCAAAGTCTTTTGTTTAAAGCAAGTAACAATCCATTAATTTTGAACAAATAGTGATATTCTTAATAATCAGTTCTTAAAAATATTCATACATTTAACATTGTATTTAAAAAGAAAATAAATGAATTGTTATTTAATAACAACATTTTCATCATATAAATACTCTTTTTGTAGGAGTTACATTAATAATTAATTTGTTGCTTTTTACATGTCAAAACTGAAAATACAGTAGAGTGTCGTTTATCTGAATCAATTGGGGACTGGGGTTATTCAGATAACTTATTTTTTGGATAACCGATTATGTACGAAAAAATATATTAACCTATCCCATGTTGAAATTTTTCTCTGTTGCGTGTTGTTTTGCGTTGAATTTTCAGCGATGTTAAGCATAATGAAAATTTTTAATAATAATAATCGTGGTTATTGTATCGTTAAAAATTATTTATTTATTTTGTACAAACAAAATAAATATATTGAAAAATATAAAAACAAAAAAAAAACTTTAGAAGTTGATCTAGTATCAAAAATGTTCGATTCAGAACGACACACAGTCCTCAGAAACATTATGCAAAAGTGCCAGTGCTGCCAGCTAAAACACACACACACACACACAAACAAAAAAAATATTGGAGTAG